TCTTACTTGTATTCTTAATCATTAATTCAAAACCGTTTCCTTGTGGCTCTTCTATCCTTCAAAATCATCTGCCATTTTTAAGTTTCATTTAGAACCATTATACATACCTGCAAGACAAACTTGAACACTCATTTTCTGCTAGAGTGGGAGATTTAAATGATACAGTTTGGAGTAGTACATTACTATCACATAAAAACGCTAGGAAGAAACTCAATACTATCAGAGGTAGTCTGAGAACTACATTCGCCAAACCTAATTCAGTCATTTAAATCAATTACAAAAAATCTGCAAAAATTAGAGAGATGGTTGGTCTAGATCAAGAACAGCATTTGTCGTATAAAATAAAGTACCTCTATATAGAGCCTAGAATCACAGAACAGGACCTCAGAGTGGGAAAGAATCTGAAGGCTTATGGCAGGAATTTCCAGGACCCCTTGTTACGTTCTTACAGCTTTTGCAAACCTGTATACCCATAAAGGAGCAATAATGACTTGGAGGTGTTTCCTCAGCAAAGAGCAAGGATTTCTGCAGGTAACAGTGGAAAGAAGGAGATGACTCTCACTCAAGGTGTAAAAACAAAACTAAACTCAACTCTGAGGTTAATAAACATTTTTATTACTCTATCAAGGGGAGTGGGGTGGTAATTATGTCTCCCAGCTTTCACATATATTTCTCATATCAAATACTTATTGAGCACCTATTATGTACCAGAAATCACTAATACTGCCTCTAAATATTAAGACAATACCATGACTCTTTTTTAAAAACAATGTTTCTAACTGTGTATAATTCTAAAGTCAATATAATTGTGACTGCTACCACTTGCCCAAAGAAACTTATCATGTTAAAAAAAAGAAAAGAAAAAAAGAAATCATCAGTTTAAACTTCCCTAGGCAGTCATTTTAAAAGACTGGAGAGCCATTCAAATCATTCCCTAATAACTCCTCTAAACCCAGATAGGATGCAACATTAAATGTTCATTCAAGTCATCCCCTAATAACTCCTCTAAACCCAGATAGGATGTAACACTAAATGTTCAATTCTTTGTATTTATAACTAGGAGGGTAGTTCAAATTTACCATATGGCTGAGTTTTTTCTTCCTATGCTCAATGCACACATCATAGTATACGGGGATGCCCTTGTATATTCAACAAGAGGGATACACTTTTGTGCCCATTCAATAGCACTTGAGCACAATTCTACTATTTTTAAAGTTTACAGAGTTTTAGAGTTGTTTTATCTTTCCTCTGAGTCACACAATTAACCAAATTTATAATTTGCTCAAGTCCCTAGTCAGAAATTATAAAATTGTTTCAATGAGAAAATGCAGTTAACTTCCCAATCAACATTAGTCTGCTTGTAACATTATTTCTAAGAACACCGTGGGACTAACTACCTAAGTTTAAGTCATTCAGACAAACAGGTACGAAAAAGAAGACTGAAGGGTGGCAAGGCCAGGTGTATGAAAGTAGCTGAGGCCAGGCCAGGATTAGTGAGTAACTTGAGTATTTGTTATCTCACACTCTCCTTTTTCTAATTCTTCCTATCCTTTCTTTTTTTTCCCCCCATTTCTTTCTTGTTCTCCCTTATATCCAGGGAATGTCATATTTACAAGGTCACTTAGATATCATCTACTACAACCCCCTTAACTTACAAATGGGGAAAACTAAAACTCACATAAAACAAAGAACTTGCCCATGATCACAAGTCTGATTTTAAAGGCAGATCCGCCCAACTCTCAGAATCCATCTTCTACTATACCCCGTGCTTCTTTAGAAAAATCCCTTGCAAAAAACTCTAGCACACTGTTCTTAAAATTTATTCTGCTATATAAAGTTAGAGAATGACACTACATAACACAACATACACTAGTATTTAAGATAGTATATACAAAACCACATAAATATATTTTCCCTAGTGGACACTTTAACCCTAATCTTTTTAAAAATTACTTTCTCACAGTCTGATTCATTGCTAGATTAGGGGAAAATATCAGTTCAATACCTGATAATTTGAAATTATTACTAAGTCACATTAACAATAGTTAATATGTCATTTACTGCTTGTATGCACTAAGTACATCCTTTTTATATATATCTATATAGATACACCTATCTATCTTGGATTGGAGGCCTCTCTCCACCCCACCTTCTAATCCTTTCACAATTTTTTCAATTAAATATAACATAGTAAGGGGTAGAATTTCTCACCTTTTCTTGCCATTTTCCCAGGGTTCTTGGGGATATTACAGTACCCATGAAAGTAAATGGTCCTATTTACATCTAGTATGTGGATTACATTTTCACTTTTCCCTTGAAAGTCTCAGGACACAGCTTAATTTCTGGACTATACTCACCTGTAAAAAGATATGGATATTTTCTACTTTGTAAATTGATTCAACCCTTTAGCTTCATAGACTAAAATTAAATCAAAAAGCCTTATGCCACTTGGACAAAAATCTGTGTTTTATGATTTAATTTTTTTTTTTTTTTAAGGATTGGCACCTGGGCAAACAACTGTTGCCAATCTTTTTTTTTTTTTTTTTCCCTGCTTTATCACCCCAAACCGCCCCTGTACACAGTTGTATATCTTAGTTGCAGGTCCTTCTAGTTGTGGGATGTGGGAAGCCACCTCAACATGGCCTGACAAGCAGTGCCATGTCCGTGCCCAGGATCCCAACCCTGGGCCGCCACAGCGGAGCACGCGAACTTAACCACTCGGCCACGGAGCCACCCCCTTTATGATTTAATTTTGACTAAGAGAATGGATTTGGAGTAAGATGACCCTCAGTTAAATTGTAGTTTAACACTAGCTGTGAGACCTCTCGAGTCTTTCTGATACTTATATCACAGGACTGGTGTGAGGATTAGATAAAAGAATGTTTTCCCTTTGCCACCTTCTCACACCTCTCATTCTGCCTGTAGAACTCCTACTTTTTCTTTAAGCTTCTTCTTAGATGTCACTTTTTCTTTTTTCTTTTTTTTTAAATGAAAACCTTTATTAAAGAAAGGTCCTTCGTTTTTTAAAGATTTTGTTTTTCCTTTTTCTCCCCAAAGTCCTCCAGTACACAGTTGTATATTTTTAGTTGTGGGTCCTTTTTGTTGTGGCATGTGGGACACTGCCTAAGCATGGCTTGATGAGTGGTGCCATGTCTGCGCCCAGGATTCAAACTGGCGAAACCTGGGCCGCCAAAGCGGAGCACGCAAACTTAACCACTCAGCCATGGGGCCAGGCCCAGATGTCACTTTTTCTATATAACCATAGCATGTCCTTTCTCCATAATGGAAGTCACTACATTTTCCATAGTTTCATGAGTACACATCTCATGATATAAATAGTAGTTTACAACTCTCTTTCTGCCATCAGACAATATGCTTCTGAACAGCAAGAATCCCAGAGCCTTCTAGAATACATGAAATACATTAGAAAGTCAAAAAATGTCTGGTAAAGGATATTGAAGATTGAACCCTTGAATAGATGCCAGGACAAATGCAAAAGCAATGCTTATTACATAATAATTCAGACTCTTCATTATCACCTAATGGAATGAAGGGAGCAAAGTTATCCACTGATACTTCTGCTTCTTGATCACTAGGGAATGCATTACCATGATCAAGCCCACCGTATCTTGCGAAGCACAAGAAACTAAACAAAAAGGGACCTTACCCTAGACCATAATATATCAGAAGACTGTTTATATTTGCTTTGCAGTTTACATAACCTGTAGTCTCCCCCAACTGTGAGTCCTCTAACATGGAAACTGTGAAAATGCTCAAATAGAATGAAATCAAACTGGTTTTCTCCACCAAGAGGAAGATATTCAAAGACTCCTAAATATCTCTTCCAAGTTTTCTTTTTCTACCTGTTTTTCCTTCTCTAACCTCTTTTCCTGCACACATTAGGCCAGATTAGAAGGATGAAAGGACTAATGCAAAGGTCTTCAAAGCCTACTAAATTAGATTAACTATGAACCAATGATTTAGAGGTAAAAGTTACCATATTTCTATACTAAATTTCCAACTCAAGATTTCCATTTCTTCTATTACCTGTGAGGGTTAAACTTTCTTTAAAGCACCTTATGAAACACTGGGATAGGTCACAAACTGGAACAACAGAATGCCACAACCGAAAAAAATTCTTCCAAAGAATAATAAGGACTTAGAAACATACGCCCATACAGGAGGAGGGAATAAATACAGAGAACCTAAGATTATCAGCAAACCAGAGGTGCTATGAGGTATGTGCCCAGCCTTTAGAGGTTACCAGAAATAAACACATCTTCCCAGAACAAAAAAAAGACTACCAGCTACTTTTCAGTAAATTCTTACTTGCCTGAAGAAATATTTCAATAGCTTAAAAAAACTGCCATGATTTGAATACATTTTCCATGGTTGAAATTACTCTGAAAAACTGCACAAACATTAACAGGTCTTAAGGGCTTCGAAAATAATTACAGTTATGCCATGGTGAAGTTCTTAAACTCAAAGAGTCAACTGATTAATAACAGCCCTTAAACATCTTCAGACTTTAAACATCACTGTCACATACTCTGAGGCATTGAATTCTCAGGTTTCACTGAATACTTTTTCAGCATTTCAACAAATAACAAAGCTGCTCCTTAACAAAATTTGGATCCTCCTGCAGGCACTTCTCCCTAATTTCCAGAGCACAACATCAATAAATACTGTCATCATCAATACTGCCGTTAATGTATCCAGTTGCGTGTGTATGCACACATATGTACATGTGTTTGTGTGTGTGTGTACACTTAGGAAAAGTCTCAAAGGATATATGCTATAATAGTGGTTATCTTTAGAGGTAAGATAAAGAGTGATTTTTATTTCTTTTTTATAGTTTTCTGTAGGTTTTTCAATAAATATATTTTATGATTAGAAAAAATTAGCTATTTCCATTAAGAAATGAGGTACAAATTATCAGTATGTAAATAAACCAGAGTTAAGTCCATCAATACAGACTCACTATAGCAAATCACTCTCACCTGCTTCATTACACAAGGCTTTCAAGTCTGCTCCAACGTATCCATGAGCACTATTTGCCAGCTGTAGCAGTTCAGCTTTAGTGAGCAAATGGGGTACCCTTCGAACTAGCTTCTGGAGGATATCTAGCCGGTCCTGAGCATTAGGAACTCCAATTTCAATCTCTTTATCAAATCGTCCAGGTCTTCGGAGTGCAGCATCCAAAGCATGAGGGCGATTTGTGGCCCCAAGGACCAAAACCTGTCCTTCACTTCCTTCCTAACAAAATAAAATGAAAATCTAAGTAAATAAATAAATACAAATATAAATATATATAAATACATATATATAGGCACTGGCTATATAGACAAGGATGGATCTAACTGTCCAGGCTGCTAAGCCCTAACCCTTTTTTTAATTACTCATCCCATATTTTCCAAAGCTTAGCCTAAATGCTCCCTCACCTAGAAAGTTTTCCAAAACTTACCTCTCCATCCACACTGATGTCTGTCCCACCTCTAGCATCTTAACTACACCATTTTCATGAATAATAACATATAATACCCTATCATATAGCTGTTTTAATGTGTTTAATTGTTTTAAGTTGTCCTTTTCCCCTGCCTGAAAGCAAAGATTATGACCTATACATCATTCAATAGAGCAAGGCTCTATTACACAGGGGTCTAAGGAATCTTCTTCACATCTGGACTGTCTCTTTTTTATTTTGATGAATTTTTAAATTCCATAAAATATAAACAATATAATCAACATCCAAGTACCAGCCACCCTTGAATACATAAGAATTTTTATTCTCTGAGAATGAAATCTGGAACAAATTACCAAGAACTACAGTCATGATCAGCCATCTGTAGAAATTATCCAACATTCTATTCCAATGACCCAAGTATAAACTCACAGAGACAAGCTTAAGCGGAATGTGATTCAATGTAAGAAAACTCTAACCCAATCAATTATACTGGATGTGCCAACAGAAAATGCATGGATTACAGTGATTCTATGAATTATGAGATTAGAAGACAAATACAGTCCATTAAACATTTTCAGACTAAAACATGACTGTCACATGCTTCCAGTCCTGCCCAAAGGCAAGAACACCAGTCTACAGTAGGTCTATCCTAGTGGCAGAGAAAGAGGGAGCAAGGACAGTGATTAAGATCCTCCAACACAGAGCCTTCCATCTAATTTCCTACTCACCAGGAACCCTTCTAATTATAATAGAGCTCTCCACATATATTTGCCTTCAGGGTGAAAAAAGAGTCACCCATAAACAAAGATATTTGGTCAGCTTAATAATTATATTTCTTATTGTAAATGGATAAACTGGCATCCAGTTTACACATGTCCCTTGTGAGTGTTATTACTGTGGGTCAGTCTTCAGGGCCCTACCACCTGCAATATACTAACAACACTGAAATCCCCAGCTTTATAAGCTGAGAATCAAACCTGGGACATGATGATCACACCTAGGTACTGCCACAAGACTGTGAACCAGGCGGTCATTCAGCCTCCCCCAGCTAGCAATCCTTCTCTTGTGTTATTCTTAAAATTGTAACACACACTAGCAAGTAACAGACTTACTACCAAACCTTCATGTTATTTTCACGCGTTCAGTTTCTACCAATAGGCAGTAAAAACCAGAGAGTTTTAATTACCCAGTTTTTTAATGTGCAAAAGGAGAGCATGAGGCCAGATGATTTCTAAAATTTCTTTTGGTTTTAACATATTATGATTCTAAAAAATGAGTTAAAATTCTGCATAAGAAGTGTATTCTTCTGGTAAACGGCTGTCAGGAGTCTGAAACAATTCTTCATTCCTCTTTTCTATTAGTACTATGGATCTCCTTTTCAAAATTAGCACATAGTTTTCATTAACCATAAGAGTGTATGCCCTATTAGAGAATCAGGTAACACGGGTAAATTCTTTTTAAATGTTGTACAAACACATTTTCCATTATTCTCACTTTCTTTCCTTTTACTTGACAAACTTAAAGACCTAAAAGAATCAACTTTTACATGAGTAATAAGACAATCATGAAATTTCTTAGTAAAATCCTCTAAAATTTAACTGCTAAATCTTCCTTACTGATTTTTGCTTCAGGTTTTAAGTTAGTACCATTTATTACCAAAAAAATTTATTATTGTATATTATTTTATATGCTAGAAAATGTGTATACGTGCCAGGTTATATTATCCTAGCAGTTACTAAGAAATCTTCTAAAGAAAATTACTTTATGGGTCTTGCCTTTAGTTTTTATGAATATTTTTTTCCTTATCCTAGGATGTCCAAAAACTTAAGACATATTTAATAGTTTTTGCTACTACATACATATAACTAAGAATCAACCCCTTCCTATACAGAATCAATACTGGTGCTATACTTACTGAGCCAATACCATCCATCAGTGTTAAAAGTGAAGCGACAATTCTTTTTTCCACTTCATTCTGAGCCCCTTCTCTTTTAGGGCAAAGTGCATCCAGCTCATCAATAAAAATAATTGACGGGTGCCTAAAAACAAACAAGTAAAATGAATTCTCTAATACACATTTAATTTTTAAATTTGATACGTTGCATTTCAATTAAAAATTTGAAACTAAGTAGTTTTAATTTTTTAATTGAAATGCAACGTATCAAATTTAGGATATAGTTAATAATATTAAAGACAAAGGCAATAGGATAAGCTGAAAAACCTTAGGTTAATTCTGGTCCAAATTTTACCTCACAGTATCACATTCTAGTGGATCTGCCCTCAATAAAAAGAAGAGTATTGAGAACAGTCTGTTGCTCATAAGATGAGAGTCTATGCCCAGAGAGAACTTGCTCACTAGTGCCCATTAAATTGTTATGCCAGGATCAATTCAGAAGCTGAGGCCAGAGATGTTGTGCCTTGGAGGAGATTTAAGTCGAAGGGATAAAGAGCAGAAATGCTCTCCTTTTTTTACCTATTAAAAAAAGAACTTTCAAGATGATTAATTCTCCCATAAAAAGATGAACATTCTCTCACAAGAGGAAGCCTCTACTGCCAGGAACATAACAACAAACCAGGAACATAACCACTGATTCTCAAATCTTCAGTATTGGGACTACAAACTAATTTCACCTACTATCACTGGAAAAAAAAACTTTAAAAATGGAAGTTCTTTTGATAACAAGGTAGTACTTATGATAAGTTAAATACCAAAGCAATAGTGGAGACATAGCCATATTATGATTATTACATTAGACCAAGTTATAGACCAAATTCTAACATTTCTTGCAATGTAACATGATAGCCTAAACTAAAGAATAATCAGTAAGAATCATTTTAAAGAATAGAAGATTTATCCCTTTGAAGCAAAAAACAATAAAGTTTCAAGCATGAAGGGCTACTAAAATATTACAGTCCACTAAGGGAACTAGATATACTAGATATGCCTAAGTACCCAAAAGAGAAAATCATAAATTTATATGCTCAAAGTCACATGACATCAAACAACACTCTTAATTCTTTTACTTTGTGATTTTTTTTTAATTGAGATATAATGGACATTTAATATTATATTAGTTTCAGGTGTACAACATGATTCAATATTTCTATGTATTGTGGACAGTCAGCATCTGTCACCAAACATAGTTACAAAACTTTCTTTCTTGTGATGAGAACTTTTAAGACCTACTCTCTTTGCAACTTTCAAACATACGCAATATAGCATTATTAACTATTGTCACCATGCTATATATTACATCTCTGTGACTTATTTTATAAATGAAAATTTGTACCTTTTGCTACCTTATCTATTTTAATAACTCATTTACCAAACTTCCAAAACAATATTAGATAGAAACAGATTAGACAGAGCTTCATTAGATTTACAATCTATTTCTAGTGCTATCACTATTATTTCTGTACTATTCTTTCATGCTTCACATAAAGTGTTAGTATGTCTACTAACACTTAAAGTTAGTTATACTTTGATTAATACAGCCTTGACTACTAATTCCAAACATCTAAAAATAAAGAATACCGCAGAGTGGCTTCGGCAAATATCTGACGTAATCTTGCTTCAGTCTCCCCATAGAATCTGTAACAAATAAAACACATTTAAGGACCAATTCTGTTTTTAAAGCTTTGTCTATAAAAGTTCATCTCACTTTTCAAATATTTCCAGAAAACTTAAAATTACTTTCAAAATTATTCTCCAAACAATTTTTATATACATTAAAAAGCAAATTTAAAATATTCCAACATATGAAATACCCAGACAGAATACTACGCTGCCATTTTTTTAAAAACCACATTTAGGAAGTATATTTAATAATATTGCTTATTCTATTAAATTATGCACCTACTTGCTTATAATTTCAGGACCATTAATTATAGAAACATAGGCTCCGACTTCATTGGCAACAGCCCTGGCAATCATTGTCTTTCCAGTACCTGGCGGGCCATAGAGTAACACTCCCCTAGGGGGAGGAATTCCTGGAAGAAAAAAAAGAGAACACTGAATTCAGCATTACTAGGTTTCTTATAAGTGTTATCATATGACTTCAAACACGAGTTATAAAATATAAATTTACTTTGCATCACAAAACTAAAGTAAGAATCAGACCTTCTTTTTTCTCCCCAAAAAGATGCACTCATTAGTCCAAACATTGACCTCCAGCACTGACTTTCTCTCTATGGACCCAACCAGGCCAGGCACATTGGCAAAAAACTGGCTGGACACACACACTGTTGCCATGCCCCATCCCATGCAGCAGAGTTCAATGATCAGAAAACAAAGCTCAAACAACAAGGACATCCAAAGGCAAGCTACCAATCCCAATTTTCATCCAACTAGCTGTCTCAGAGAACAGAATAACCATTACTAGCAAAATACCAATCCAAGGGTTCATTTATATATATAAAGGTTCATGAAAAAGGAAAGAGTAGAGAAAGAGATGGTAGGCACCAAACACATGCAGAGGATCTGGGCAGTAACTATACAGAGGAAGTCCTGAGTTTCCTAAGAGCCAAGTCACTCCCTCAACCACTTGCTTCAGTGCAAAGAGATCTGCACACAGCTACATTTCTTAACAAAGAAGTTTTATCCAACATATTCGAATGTTTGGTTTATTTCTTTAGTTATTACAGCTGATCCAGCACGACAAGATACTTATTCTAGATTCAATACAAACAATTGTGGGAGTATGCAATTAGAAGGGACAGGCTGCAACTAACTCACATTACAACCTAAAGAAACCAAGCACAGAAAAAGGCTCTCTCAACTGGCCTCTCCCAAAGCAACTCTCACCTCCTACCATACCTATCACTTAGGAAAGAAAAACGGGAAAAAAGGGTGAGCGATCATTAGATAAGTGGAATGAGCCAACTGCTTTTTAGTTTGAATTTAACACTTTGAGGTGCAATACACTGAAGAAATCATACCATAGCTCTTGAAAAGTTCCGGCTGTTTGAGGGGCAGTTCAATTATTTCTCTAATTGCCTTCAGCTGACTATTTAAGCCTCCTATCATGTCGTAAGTTACTTTGAATTGGTTGTCTTGCTCTTTTGAATTTGTACGAATCTTTGTAAAACTGACTCTTGTTGTTGAAGAAATAAAATAAAAAGTATCAGTGTTGCACTTTGCTCCCAAGCTGGCTGACTTCAGCAACCTCTCTTTATTGACAAGTTGTTCGTTTCCTTCTCTGGCAGACTCAAAACTGCATGTAAGGCCTGTGGCTTCCTCTAATCCAAGTCCACCATCATCCCCAGGACTCTGGGTAACATCCAATAAAATGTCACCAGCTTTCTTTATCATTCTGTCATCTACTGGTTTGCAAGGAGTACTGCTTGATGTTGGGTCCTGGGGCTCTTCCAGATCTAGCTGGCTTAGTTGTACAGATATATCAAGGGTACTGGTTTCTGTGCTGGACCATTTAGAGGTCATTCCCTGAGTATCAGTGTCAGAGTCACTCTGAGGCTTTCTCAATATCGTGCCGTCTACCCCTTTCACTTGCAACACTTGCAACTTGCACGGTCGTCCATAGAATGTACAATACAGAAAGTTGCCTGGTAAAACAATCTTGCCATCTGGAAAACAATTTATTAAATATACATGTTAGCACAATTTTTCACCCTTTTAATGTTTAAACAGCTATTTATTTCATCTATTAACAAACTATCTGACTGAAAAAACTAAATCAAAGATGGGAGCATTTATAAAATAAGTGTTGTGAAAAATAGAGGACCTAATATTCCCATTGGTAGAAAACTATCTGGAGGTAGAAGGATAAGATGATTCTTTGAAATCCTCTACACTCAATGCATCTAGGATACTATCAACTATATAAACAAATAATCAGCCATTCTATGTTCAATAATGAACTAACCTGACAGCATATCTAAGTCAGCAAGCCATGATAACTTTCCTACTGGAAAGAGAAAGAGCTCAAGGGTTAAAAGTCTCAGCTCTACTATTGACTTTGTCCATAGACAAGTCATATATTCTCTCAACTGCCAATCAACTGGGGGAAAAAAATCTCTATCTCAAAAGGACATCAATTCATTGAGGAGAATATTCTCTACACTATTTTGAAGAAAACTATTATATATACAGGACCTCAAAGACACATTACTTTATTTGCTGCTACCCTGCTTCTCAAAATTTAAAAAACTATTTAAAATATATGTCTCACCTAGTTTTCTCAGAAGACAACCAGTCAATTGCTCTTCATTAATATCCACATTTTTGTCACTGTAAAAGGGAAATAAAAATCAGCACTAAGTACAACAGAAATTAAAATGTAATATAAAATGACATGTACACAGTTGTAAAGTAGATCTAATCAAAAGAATAACTAGTTTACAACCTGGAAATGATTTACACAATTTTGGAATGATTTACACTTTTCAGATACTTCTTATAGCTGTGAAAATATGATTTGCAATTTGGTATCCTAGTGGCTAAACGAGTGTTCTTCAAAACATACGGTACTATCCATGAGCGGATCATGAAATCATTTCAGTCAATCTCATTCAGCATTTTTTTTAATAGACTACAAAATGTCAGAGTACATCACACAAAGAAAAGGTAAATATTGCTTTGTAAAACATTACTTTTTACACATACATGCACACACACATATCTATATACTCATGCGTATATAGGTACATATACGTGACTGTATACGTGCACTTTATCTGTGGATGTATGTGTACAATGAGTCATAATAAAAAATACATTTTTTATGATGTGTCATAGTCAAAAATATTTGAGAAACACTGGCCTAAATTAATCATTCCCTTTCTCAACTTGCCTAGTTTGAAGAAAGGCTTTTATTAAAAGCTTACTTGACTCCTTTTGTATAATTTATAAATTATCTTTCAAGAAAATCAAATCCTTTATAGTACATTATCTGAAGAGGTAGAAATAAGAGAAAGGAGGGTAATGGTGCCATGGAAGTTTATTCTGAAGAAAGAGCATGCCTAAGAAAAATGAGAACTCCTTCTTCTGACTAATAACTGTGTCTTCCAGGAAGGTTGCTTGTTTGAGTACAGAAGTAGGCACACTAAAAATCATTGTAAAGAACTATGTTCCTGGAGAGTTCTCAGAACATGTGCATTTTCCCTACTTCTCCATGTGTAAACAAGCCTCCATCAGCAGAGGATGCCTACAGTGTGTGAGCTCTGTTGGTAATCAGTGGAGGGGGGATAGTTTAGCTCAGGAAGGGGTGTGTTAGCAAACCATCTGGTCAAAATCTAAGCCTTATTCTTCAGTCACTTTATCAGTAACAAAACCAATATAGCTGATCATCATTATTTATGGATTCCATATTTGCAAATTCACCTACTTGCTAAAATGTATTTGCAGTCCCAAAATCAACACTAGAAGAGCTTTCCCAGTCATTTGTGGATGTGAGTAGAGCAAGTAAAAAATCTGGGCCACCCAACGCTTTCCCAGCTGAGTTTAAAGAAGGCCTCTTGTTTCAATTCGTGTTCAGAGATGACAGAGGATGGAGAGTGGAGATGGTAGGGGGCAGTGCAATGCAGAAGAAAAAGTTCCAGCTCTGGGGCCAGCTGGAGGGGATCTGAATCCTAACTCTGGCATCTGTTAGTCGGGTAGCGTCAGGCAAGTCACTTAACACTCTTAAACCGCCCCTTCTTTGTAAAATAAAGAAAATAGAACCTAGGGGAATGATGAGTTGTTTTAAGGATTTAAGACTACAATCTATGTAATATATATATATTTATATTTATATTATATATGTGTGTGTGTGTGTGTATATGTGAATATATATATATATATATATATATGCGCCCCAAGGAGTAATGGTTCAGTATTTGCTAATTCAGTGTTTGTGGCAACTTTATAGAACATTAACTACCACAAGTAACAAGAATTGACTGGGTGTTCTTTTAAAAGAGAGAGAGAGAAATAGAATAAGCAGGAAATCTCATGAGTCAAATGTATGTGTCTCAAATGCTTAAATTTACTCCTGTTTACAGAACTCTGAAACCAGTTACACTTAAATTGTTTCTATTTATTAAACTCTGAAAAGAAGATACTTACAAATATGTACAAGAACAGTAAAAACCACTCAACCAGTTTTGTTTTTACAAAAAGAATGGGTGCAGATAAAATTCTTTCCACTAGAAGGAGCTCTAACCTTATTAATAAAATTTTTCAGATACAACTGAAGGATTTAAGCAGCAAATTAAAATTACTAAATTTTCTTAGTGGAAATTAAGTTCCTTGTCTAACTCTGCTGCCACATTTGAAACATAAGATTTTTTCAAAATGAAATTTTAAAAACCAAGATGCAATTAAAACATACACAGTCCCTCTACAGTAACAAGCAGCCGTTATGAGCTGACTGCTGCGCCCTCAAGAGGTGGGGCTAGTTGCAGGTCATCAAAAATCCAGTCAACCGGTTACTGCTAGCTGCAGCACTGCTTTACAACAGTCTGGATAATTCCTATTTAATCTGAGTAGTACTACTAACTAATCCATAAAATAAACGGGCAAGTTACTTCTCCTCACTGAGCCCATTTCCTCCTCTGTAAATAAAGGGGTGAAAATGGGTAACTTGCAGGATGTGTAGAGGATTAAATGAAAAAATAAAAAGGGAAAAAGTGTGTGTGCCAATACACAGCTGGTGCTCAACATATGCTGTGTTCTCTCTTCTTTTCTGCTTTTTATTTTATTGCCTGTTAAAATGCTATTAAATGCTCTGAAAACATTTTCCAGTTTTTAAATATGTAGAAACTCAAGCTTGGAATCTACAAAAGTAGCAAAAGAGAAAAAAACATTTTAAAATCAAGCTAACGACTGAAAAATGTTTTGTGATTCTCGCATAGAATGTAAATATACCCCCCAAATTGTTATCTAAGGTGTTATTAAAGTATTAAAAGATGCTTTTTTTTAAATGAATTTTGATAAGACTTTTTCATGCAAACTGAGTCAAAAGCCTATTAGATACAGAGTATCCAAGATGATGGGTAGTATACTTTATCGATAAGGTGATTCGAACAATTAGTATTTGGTGAGGAACTATTTTAAAATCTGATAGAAATGGATGTTTTACTAGATTGAATAATCAGAGTTAAAATATACAACTAGGTACTCTGCTTGAGCAGTCTTAATTAAAACTTGTTTTTTGCCTACTCACAGTAATCTACCCCCTTCTTTACAACTGTAAAAAAGATAAGAAGCCCCAACTACACTGCAAACCAAGATGAAAAACATTGTTAAATATCCATCAGCAATAATTCCTCTCACCTAACACATCAGGGCATACTCTCATCATATGTCATTAGAGAGTCCCTAGTCCATTACTACATGGCACACATCTAGCTTGTTCTAACACAGGAGGCCACTAGCCACTCACCACATGGGGCTAGCAAGCGATTAAAATGTGATAGGCCAAACTGAGATGTGCTACAAGGGTAACATACACACTGAATTTTGCAGACACTTTGAAAAACATCTTATTAATAGTTTTCTATAGTTAATTACGTGTTAAAAACAGATTTTACAAATACTGGTTAAACAAAATATTACAGGGGCCAGCCCCATGGCATAGTGGTTAAGTTCAGTGACTCTGCTTCAGCAGCCCGGGTTCATGGGTTCAGGTCCCAGGCACTGACCCATACCATTTGTCAGCCACTACTTGTCAGACCCATGAATAAAGTGGAGGAAGATTGGGCCGGCCCTGTGGCACAGCGGTTAAGTGTACATGTTCTGCTTTGGTGGCCCGGGGTTCACTGGTTCAGATCCCGGGTGCGGACATGACACCACTTGACAAGCCATGCTGTGGTAGGCATCCCATATATAATGCAGAGGAAGATGGGCATGGATGTTAGCTCAAGGCCAGCCTTCCTCAGCAAAAAGAGGAGGATTGGCAGCAGATGTTAGCTCAGGGCTAATCTTCCTCAAATAAAAAAAAAAAGATTGGCAACAGATGTCAGCTCAGTGCTAATCTTACTCAGCAAAAAAATATACATATATTTACTATTAGAATTAATTCCACCTGGGGCTGGCCCAGTGGTGCAGTGGTTAAGTTCACACATTCCGCTTCAGCGGCCCGGGGTCTGCTGGTTCAAATCCCGGGTGCAGACATGGCACTGTTTGGCAAGCCATGCTGTGGCAGGAATCCCACATATAGAGGAAGATGGGCATGGATGTTAGCTCAGGGCCAGTCTTCCTCAGCAAAAAGAGAACTGGCGGCAGATGTTAGCTCAGGGCTAATCATCTTCTTCAAAAAAAACAAAGTAATTCCACCTGTTTCTCTTTACTTGCTTAATATAGCTACTAGAAAACGCAAAATTAAATACGTGGTTCACATTTGTCATTCTCGTTATATTTCTACTGGGCAGCATTGCTCCAGACAGTCACCAAAGAAAAGTGCCAAACCTGAGTGCCACGTCCATTTCCTCAGCCTGTAGCACAGCACCCAAAAGAGGCTGGACCTGGATGGCATCACCAATCCTCACACCTATGTTCTTCTGTGCCATTTCACTCAGGCCAACCTTGCCTCCAGGAAATCCTGACACAGGCCAGGCTGTATAGACCTGCCCAGAACACAGGAAATAAAAATATGAGAAAATAAATATTCAAGTATATCGTTAATTTATAAGGCAGAAAGCTAAGCACAGCCAAGTACGTGGATCTGCAAAACACAGTCCTTACCCCAAAGGAGTTACAATCTGACACAAGTCACAAAAACCTTTTTTTATAAATATTACACTTTTTGTGAAGATTAGGAATGATCCCACAGCAAAAATGGTGGAAGATTTGAAAAGTGGATTTAGGAAAAGACACAAAGGCATTAACAGATGATAAGAAAGAAATGAGAAAAAATACTGAAGGCAAGCTAACTGTAAGGTAATCCAGCCTGGAGCATAAACTACATCCAGGAAATAGTGAAGGAATGGGCAGAAGAGCTTGGTGGGAACCTAAATCTCATCAGATTTAAATGTTAAGGGAGAGGAGCAAGGATTTCTAGCTCAAATTAGTGGGCTGAGCTCATACATTGACAGTGTTCCCTTCCACAAAACACAGTAAAGGATTTTTAAAAGTCTAAGCCCAGAATAATGAAAAGAATGGGAAGCACGCCATCAGCAGACAGAGATTTCAAAACATTTCCAGAGGACCCAAGTGGATGAGAGAACATTGAGAGATGAAGCAGCAGCAGAAGACCTGGCAGAGGCAGCCAGGGGCCAGCAGCAGGGAAGAAAGCCAAGGTGCCAACAGTGTTCCAGGAGAGGTCCTGGGCTTGGAGTCTCAGATATGATGAATGGCAGCAAGGACAAACACAGCTGAAAACAAGTAGGGTAATTAAACACTGGTACACAAAAGAGATGACCTTCAAACCCCCAAATAACGTTTCTGTGGAGAAATATAACTAATAGACTAGGAGAAATAGGGCTGATAGTGAGTGTGTCACTACCTCCTGAGGAAAGGCCTCTCTCTACATCATGATGTTTAGGTGCTGCTACGCCCAGCATAGTCGCAGACATCAAAGTAGGGAAAAGTTTATATAGATGTGAGGGTCTTTTAAAATATAGTTTTTAATTTATTCCGGCTTGAACTAAAAATTAAAATCAAAAACATCTCAATTCTTTCTAAACTAAGGAAATGAAAAGGACTCTTACCTCTTGCTTTCCATCCAAACTGGTAAGCAACACTGGTCGACCTATACATATATTTGCAGACTTCATAGTGTTGAGTCCAAGTTGAACGAGGGAATTCTGGAATGTTTTAGGAACTTTGTCATCTATCATGAAGGAAAAGACAATTAGTTTTGTAATATTTTGTAAGTGCAGTTAAAGCATGCTTTCTTTTGGAGTAAATAAAAATCCTCCATCCACACAGCCACATGAATACAATTACCATACCCGGGAAACCACTGTTCCAACTCTCCTTATTTTAATAAGCAGAATTAAAACCAAACCTTTTGAGGGTCCACTGATAATATGAGTGCTAACTAAAAAAGAATATTTTATGGGTCGTTACTAGTTTTCATTCTTTAAAAAAAATCTCTAATTGCATTAAGAACTGAACATACTTGCAATAGGGCTTTTCATACTTGCACACTGAGCTTCTCCTATTACAGATGCTAAGTTGAGTCAGCTACTAGTATTCAAAGGCTTGAATTAGGGCACTGGCACTCATCTGGCTCAAAAGGATTAAACTTTGCTTCCACCTCTGGCCCACATGATAGCAATCAGATATTTTTCTTTTCTGTTCCCAAGAATACAAGGATAAGACAGTAACACAGGTCTTTTCCAGCGACTGAAACGAACATTAGTGCTTTCAACTCTTGGCCAAAGAAAGGGCCCAGAATTCAGCCCAATTGGCAACGTCTCTGAAAATGATGTGCTAACATCTCTACCCTTTCCCACCCACCCACTCAAGCTCTACATTTGGTTAGATATCCCTCCTCTGATTCTCCCAGCACTCTATGCTGCCAGATACTAGCATTTATCATCCTAATATTCATTTGCTTTACAGTCTGACTTTCTCCTAAACCGTATGCTGCTTTGGGGCAGGAATTTGGTCATATTTATCTTTGTATCTTCAATGTCTTGTAGTTCATCAAATAAGGCAGTTGTATAATAAATATCAGTGAAATGAATGAATGTAGTAGATGAGTACACAATATTTTTCTTTTCAGCAAAAAATCCATCACACACTTAGGAAATTTTAACCTGCCACAAACTTTGTTATAAAATTTATTATAAAAAATTTTATTAGACACATATACCATAATCATAGAGCTCTAATATTAATTTTTCCTAAATGTCAGAAAAACAGATCTTTTGTAATTAAAAAGGAAGTAAATCAATGAAAGCAAAACCAAGAGGTATGTCTGATTTACATTATTCTCTATCACTACAAGGTAATTTCCCAACACATTTATTCTCCTTCTGGCAGCAGATGAACAAATCTAGAAAAAGAAAACACCTCACAGAGCCAAGACTAACAGTACTGTGTGAAAAATGAAATAAGCTGATTTCATAATATGAGAAGCTCAAAAGAAATTCAACTTTCCCACGAACATTAGGTCTATCACCAATGGAGATCACGTTCAAATTCCCATCCACTGGCCTTGTTTCCCAATATCTTGTATTCTGTATTCTCTGTTCACAGCATCCACATCTGCTCAAGCTGTCTTCCACACAATTCCCTTCACTAGTCCTCATTCCTCCAATACTTGAAAAATATATTGTGACATCCACCTTCCCCATTAACTAAATTTACATCTGTTGAGTACCTTATGTGCCAGATTAACTAATGAGATAGTAACAGTAATTTCAAACTACCCACCCTTCATTTGTTCATTCAGCAAATATTTACTATGTGCCTACTATATGGCAGATACTATGCTAAGCAATGGGGATACAAGGTGAAAAGAGCAGACACAGTTCTTGGCCTCATGGAGCTTACAATCTAATAGGATGAGAGAGTTATTAAACAATCACTGAGTAACCGTAGAATTATAAAATAAGATCAATGCAATGAAAGAATGACTAAGGGTGCTGGGAGAGCCTATAATGTGGGATCTGATCTAATTTGGAAGTATCAGAGAATGCTTCTCCAAGAAAGTAATGTTTAAATTCAGATCTGAAGGAAAATTAGGAATTAACTAAATGAAGAGAAAAAAAGAATTCTCAGCAAAAAGAACAGCATGTACAGAGGTCCTGGACAGCAGGGAGCATCGTGCATCTGAGGGAAAGAGCACAGGCAGAGTGGTAGGAGAAAAGGAGGGATCATATAAAGAAGTTCAAGAGCAGCGAGCGCAGTAGGCTGTATCAAGCTGCTGGTTTTCATTCTGACAGCAACTGGAGGCAAGTCAGGGGAGAAAAGCAAGGTCATGACAAGATCTTCATTTTAAACAATTGTCCTGGTTGCAGAGCAGAAAAGGAACTGGAATGGAGCAACTAGTGTAGAAGTCCAGGTGAGGGATGATGGTGTCTGAGATGAAGGTGGAAGCAGTAGGAACGGAATGAAGAAGAGGAATGTGGGAAATATTTAGGTGATAGGCTTGGTGGTGGACTGAATATGTGAGATGTGAGAGAGAGACGTGTCGTGGATGACTCCTGGGTTTCTGAATTTTGCAATGGGAAAAACTGAACAGGGCTAGAGCTTGTTTTGTTGGAGGAAATACGAGTGCATGAGGCCAGTCTTGATGCACCTTTGAAAAAGCCAAGAGAAGAGGTATAGTATAGTGCTATTCAAAGTGCAGTTCACAAACTATTTGTTACTGCTTTGTGACAGGATAAGCACAGAAAATGAGAAGCATTTAGAAGCTTCTATTGCACTTTGATAATTTTATATCTGTTGAATCTAATAAAAATTTATATTTTTTAACTTATTTTTCTAGTAATTTATTTTTATTGTATTTTACAACAGTGCTGACCTGCGACATATCATAAATTTAAAAACCTTCCCTAAAGAATTTGAGCAGCATTGGTCTAGAAGACAGCTGGATCAAGACTCAGAAATAGTATAAATTACAAGTATAAATCTGAAAATAATGAGGATATAGATGGAAAACTCTGGGCATTGGAGGAACTTGGGCAAAGAAAGAAGACTTACAGAGAAAAAAAGAGGACTTTAAGACTAAGAATTGAGGAACTTCAACATCTGACCGTCAAATGGAAGAGGATGAGCCTGCAAAGAAAACTGACAAAGTACCAACAAAGGATGGAGAAAAACTAGGAAAGTTTAATAACATAAAAGTCAAGAAGTAAAGTGTTCAAGGAGGAAATGGTGGACAATGCCAAAAGCTGTTGGAGGTCAAGTAGGGTAAGCAACGAAAAACTGTCCATTGGTTTTATCAACATGGAGATGATCTGTGACCACGGCAGGGACAGTTTCCACCAAATGATGGGATGGATGTCAAATACGAACAGCCTAAGGAGTATGTGAAAGATGAGGAGGCACAGCCGGCTCCATTTCAGAAATGTGGAAATGAAGAGTGGAGAGAGAGAGGGTGGTGGTAAGAAGAAAATGTGGAGCTTTTGTTCTGATTTAAGATGGATGATAAATCAGCAGGTATAAATGTCAATGGGAAGGATGTGGTTGAAAAAGAGATTTGATTGGGGCTGGCCCCGTGGCCGAGTGGTTAAGTCCGTGCGCTCCGCTGCAGGCGGCCCAGTGTTTCGTTGGTTCGAATCCTGGGCGCGGACATGGCACTGCTCATCAAACCACGCTGAGGCAGCATCCCACATGCTACAACTAGAAGGGCCCAAAATGAAGAATATACAACTATGTACTGGGGGGCTTTGGGGAGAAAAAGGCAAAAATAAAATATTTAAAAAAAAAAAGAAAAAGAGATTTGATCATGCAGGACATAAGCTGTCCTCTGATTCCCAAGGAATACTGAAACACTACGTTAACTCTAAGAGTGTCTTGAGGATTTGCATTAAACGTAAAAATCTTGACACTAGTTTAACCTGATCCATTTTTCAAAGCTATCACACATAGGTTGAACACATAGAAGCTTTACCGACCAAATGACTTTTCAGATAAATCCGTTCTCCCAACTCGAGGGTACCGTGATTTAGCATAAATGGCTTTAGAGTCAAACACATCTGGACTCAAATATCGCCTCTGCCACTTAGTACCTGTGTAACCTAGAGCAAACCACGTTTTCTTCCTCTGTAAAATGGGCATCCTAACACAGTACCCATCTCCCAGGGCTCCTGTGAAGATTGAATGAGATTTGTATGTGACATACCCAACCTACTGCTAAGACCAGGGTGCAATTAATAGCTGCTATTAAATACTAGAACCTGTGTAGTAACAGCAGGAAAAGGCACCTTCATTCTTAAATGCACAATAATGTCTCTTAGGAAGGATGTATCCACATCTTTCCTGAACTGGGTACTTAATTTTTTTAGTGTATGTATCCTAGGCTCGCTAGAGATGAGCAATTTTGTAGTTAAATACGTCGTTAATCTTAAATGAGGCAAAGTCGTTTCAGGGCAACTTAGAAATCCAAACCAATTTACAAAAGAGACAGCTTGACTTGGCCACGGATAAGCCATCGCAGGCGCGGCTTGGGGGCCTCCGGACGGCTGGGCCGTTCACGGCCGGGCCTCGCGCAGCTCTCGAAAGCCCCTGCAGCCACGGGCGGCGTCGCCAGGCCCTCGTCCTCGCGGGCTGCGCCCCCTCGGCCTCGAGTCTCCCTCTCAGAACTCTTTACCCTTTTCTAAGAAGTTGGTCACCGCCAGAGTCCCGGCCACCGCCGCGATGCCTGGCCCAGCAGGAGAAGCCGAGGCCCCCGCAGCACAGGGAGCAGCGGAGGGCGAGAGCGAACCACCCTCTCCGCTTCGGTTGAGCCGCTTTCTGCTCTTCTTGGAAGACATGATCAGAACGCTGCCTGAGAGAAGCAGCGGCAAAGCCGGCTCAACGTGCGCGCTTTACTGTGAGGAAGAACTTCCGGAGCAGAAGTCAGCGAGGCTCCGCCCGGAGCCGTAATCCCGCGAGTGGAGCGCAGTGGAAGAGGGCGAGCCCCGCGTCTTCAGACCCCGCTGTCTTTGAAGAGGTTGAAGAGGCTCTGACTTCTGCAAAGGAAGACGGATTAAGCGGACACTACCGTCATTTGGATTGTAAACTCTTGAAAGATAAGACTTTTTCGTGTCTCCGCCTGCCTTCCCCATCGCTAAACAAACGTCTGTTCAATTAAATTAGGAGGAGAAAAAGTGGTGGGAAAGTTTCCACCCGCTTTCCTGGAGCCGAGAAAATTCCTGACAGGAGCTGGGAGACAGGGCTTCGCTTTCTCCTCGCTATGGCGCTGCCAAGTCGTAACCCTAACCCAACTCTGAGACGGGTGGGGTGGCGCTCATCTAAAATTTACGGTAGTGACCTCCGCTCGGGAGCACAAAGTGTGATTTGGGGCCGAGCAAGTGGGGCGTCGAGGGACGGCGCCGTGATGCCGCCGCTGCCGAGCGGGGTCTGCTGGCGCGCGGTGCTGGCCAGGGCCCACAGCGCCAGGCTCTCATCAGGGTCCCGCGGGGCGTCAGGCGACGCGGGTTGCGCGCAAGACCACCCGGCCGTAGTGGGCGAGCTGCGGGGAGAGCTGGACAGATTCGGCGGCGTCTCGGTGCGGCTGGGCGCGCTGGACCGCCTGGACGCCGCCGCCTTCCAGAGGGGCTTGCAGGGCAAGTGTGCCTGGGCCGAGGGGCTGCGCGGCACCCGAGCCTTTCTAATGAAGGGATCCGGCCCCACCCCCGTTCAAGTCCCGAGCCCGGAGGGAAGGGGAGAGGGCGCGATGACCCGCCCGGTTCTCTCCCTTTTGTTCCTGTGCCCTTTGCTGGGAGGTCTCTGAGGCGGTGTGGTGAAATGGCGATGATACCACACTTTGGGATCAGCCGCCCTAGTTTCTGGTCCACTTTCTAGTGTGTGACCTTCGGCAAGTTCTGTCAACCACCAGTTCCCCATCCATCAACTGGGTGATGGGAGCACAGGGGATGGCTCAGAGTTAAGTGGGCTAATGCATATGAAAAGTGCTCAGCACGCATTCTGCCGCCTGTTGAACGCTCAGTCGCTGCTCGTTAATATCACTACGTTATGGTTTACCATCAGCTACCGAGCCGTGGTTCAGCCGGGCACTTTGCCCAAGACAAAACTAGCTCAGATTCTAGTAGAGGTGGTAGACAACGAGTGGACCCGAGAGGTTCTGAGTGGTCACGTTTGTGCACAAATTGGGTCAGGAGCCGTCGCGTCAGGAACTGGAGTTTGCTTCTCCTTACAGAGCAACAAGTCCTCTCTGATTGACCGGGGAGGGTGGCGGGTGGTTTCAGTTTCGATAGGAAATCTCTGTCTTTGAACCTGGAGTCCAGTGTTAAGAAAGGAAGCTTGGATGGAGGAGCCTTCACTTTGAGAGAAGCCCATGATTTGGTTGGAACAGCCTGTTTTTTAAATCGCGCCTGAGGGTCCTTATAATCGAACTGAAGGCATAGCCTGGACATTCAGCCATGGGAAGATTCTCTCATACTAACAGGAAACTTCAAATAATCTTTATCCTATTGAACAATATGGCAAGTGAGCATCTATGTAAATACGATCGACTAGCTGTCTTTATTCTTTAGTCATTCTCATTCCCAAGCCGCTTACCTCTTCACCTCATTTTCTCTCCTGCTTGTGAATAATTGCTGACTCTAACAGTATCACCAGTAGGAGAATCAGATCAATGTTCATCCTCTATGTGTACATTTCTGTAGGTAGATACAGGTATTTATTGTGCACACTCTGCCCAAACAGGTGATTAAAGCCCTACCTTAGTCAGCAAGGCAAAGCAGAAAGGAGGTTGGGTTTGGAGTCACACATCCAGGGTCCAAGTCCCAGGTTCTGCCACATGCTTAGCCAGGCATTAGGCAAATATTTGAAGATAGAAAATATTTGCCTCTTAGGTTGTTTATATGAATAATCCCAGCCCTAATTACTAGGTGGATGTGGTTATCAAAGATAAAGTATATGAAACTATAAACTCTTAAGTACTGTATACTTTTTCTATTTTTTAAAAAAACCTTCTGTTGTACTAAGTGCTAGATACTGTTTTAAGAACTTTACAAATATTAATTCATTTAATAACAACCCTGTGAGGTAGGTGCTACTATTACCCCCATTTTAAAGATGATGATACTGAGACAAAGAGAGATTGAGCATTTCCCTGCTTTAGATTCTGCTTTTCCTGCACTGTCTGCCTCTACGAGCTACTGCTAATTCTGCTGTTGAGTCAAACAAAACTGAATAGTATTGCCTGTAAAGAGAAACTGAAATAATCTGAGAAGAAAGCCTCATAGGAAGTCTAAATCTGTTCTTTTCAAGTAAATTGGACTGTGTATTATGTATTAGCAAGAGTTGTTATGCAGATTTACACATGAAGTCTGTTGTTTTAGTTATTGATAACTAAAGTTAGATGGATGAACAGGTAATATGTTGCTCAGCTTCGCATATAATACATCTACATCAGTCGGGAAATAACCCTGGTTCTGGTCCTTGCTATGCAACTGACTAGCTGTGTGACTTTAGGCAAGCCAGTCATTTAGTAAGTATGAACTGAGCCCCAGTGCATAATCTCATGTTAACCTGGAGAAGTGCAAATGCATGAAATATTAATTAGTATTAGAAAAAATAAATAACAGAAGAGACATCATTAGGCAATGTGTAATAACTTCTGGTAAATCATTAACATAGTAAGTCCCTAAGTTCACCTATGGAGAGCATGTGAGCAGTGGTTAGGCAAGATTTTTGTCAGAGAGGTGGTGTATGAGCAGACTTTCAGGGATGGATATATAGCTGTGGGGATGAGGAATGGAGAAAGAAAAAGCATTCGAGTTTATTAGAGAAAAGAGAAAGGAAAGAATAAAGTGATTCTAAAGTTTCAAGCATTGGTGCCAAAAATAAACCTGTAAATGAAACTAGTTTGGAATGGATGGTGTAGGAGTCAATTTTGAACATACAGTGTGAAATTTGAAGTAGAAACCTTCAGAAAATTTCTGAGAGCAGAAAAATGCAGTGTTCAGGGAGGTCAGACTGGGCGACCATCCTTGTGTAGATTTTAGCTGAGACAGTGGGAGTTGACAGATACTCCAAGTTAGGGAGTGTAAAGATAAAAAGCAGGAAGCAAGTGACTGTGCTTTGGGAACTTCAGCTTTTTCATTTGATTAGAATGATTGAGTGGCAAGGAGGACATGGGAACTCTCTGGGGTGATGGAAATGTATTATTAATCTTGATTGGAGTGTGGGTTACACAAGTGTATGCGTATGTCAAAATTCATCAAATGTACACTTAAGATTTGTGCATTTCACTTGATGTAATTGAATGTCAATTTTAAAAAGATTTAATCAGAGAAAGAGTGAGGTGAGAAGGATCTGACCCCATATGAAAGACTCCCACGTGTTTGTCACACTGTTAGGCACACCGACTTTCAAAGAGGTAGAAAACATGGTCCTTAACAGGGAGGCCCTACTGCAGAGCTGTGGAAGAGAAGAGAAGGAAAAGGAATTTAACTATTAAATAAATAATCAAGCCTTCGCACCACACACACACACACACACACACACACATACACATACATACTCTACAGGATTATTGTATAGATTAAGTGAGATGGTAGATGGAGAAAGAGATCTGAAAAGTTTTTCTAAAACTAAAGTATTAATTTGTTCACCCATAAATTAGAGGTGATAATACCTGCCTTTCGTGGTTCTGAGAACTTAATGAGATGATGTATGTAAAGGAACTTAGTAAGAGCCAATAAACGTTAGCATCTTTTTCTCCTGGCTCAATCTTAAGTAATAAACTAAGAGAATTTAAGGAAGTCAAAAACAAATCTATCTTTATGTTCATCATGCTATTATTCATAATCAGGACAATTTAGGAACAATCTTTCCAAGAGTAGGAGGCTAGTTAAGTAACTTATAGTATACCTGTATGTGGAAAATTATGTAGGCTTTAAAAATTTATGTTCATTAAAAGAATTTTAATAACAAAGTGTTTACAATATATAGTAAAAGATGTGCTGTAAGTTATATATGGTATGATGTCAATTCCAAAATTATATTCATGGAAAAATGTCAAAATTTAAAATTTTATCTCTACATGCTAATAAAATGTGAAGTTTTGATTTCTTCATTATACTTTATTTTCAAAATTTTCAAGAACTAGCATACATTATATAAAAACAAAGTTATACTTTTAACCACCTTGAATTTTATAAACCAAAAAAAATTACAACAGAACTCTCCAAGGAAGAGTAAATAGAAACCCATAATAGTTATTTATAAAGATTAAAACTAAGGATGTTAAAAGGAACAACATTAAAATGGAATTTTAGGGGGCCAGCCCTGTGACCAAGTGGTTAAGTTGGTGCACTCTGCTTCCGCCACCCAGGGTTTTGCTAATTTGGATCCTGGGCGCAGACCTGAGGCCACATCCCACATGGCACAACCAGAAGGACCTACAACTAGAATATACAAATATACAACTATGTACTGGGGGGCTTTGGGGAGAAGAAGAAGAGAAAAAAAAAAAGATTGGGAACAGATGTTAGCTCAGGTGCCAATCTTAAAAAAAAAGTGGTATTTTATTTTGTTTAAATCAGTGTGTTTGTTCATTCCACAACTATTGAGTACTAATTATATGCCAAGCATTGTGTCAGATGATATAGATATACTGACTGTATTCTCAAGGAATTCAGTCTGGTGGAAAAATCATATAAACAAGGTGGAAATTGTAATAAAACATAGTAGTTCCCGTGCTGCTGATGTGAACAGGGCATGTTGGGATCCCCCCCGCCCAAGATAGCTAACCAGTAAGGGAAGTGGACACTTAAAAATGCCTACCTAGAGGACTTGACACCTTGAGATGAGTTTTAATTTATTCCACTCCTCTCACTGGACAATATTCACAGACTTTTATCTTCTTCTACCTTTTAGCTGCAATACAGCAATGGAGATCTGAAGGTAGAATAGCGGTATGGCTGCACATTCCCATTCTCCAAAGCCGATTTATTGCCCCTGCCGCTTCCCTGGGCTTCTGCTTTCACCATGCAGTATCGGACTCCTCAACGCTCACACTGTGGCTGGGAGAGGGGCCCAGCAGATTACCAGGATATGCTACACATCAAGTAGGAGTTGCAGGTCAGTTTCAATCTAATAATCGGAATTAACTTGTCAAAGGTTCACCCAATTTCTTACTTCTTACAGTTGAGCCATAATTCATTCATGTGGAATAACAATTTGCTTACGTTAAAGCATTAATCATTTTATCCTCCTTGGAACTGTTGAGTAGTGCTTTAAATAGATGAAGTTTGCCTTATGAATCAGCAGAGGGCAGCACAGAGAACAAGCAAGTTTAGTGTTTAGTTTTCCAAAGGATATGTTTGAACATGTTTTACACAGATATTGCAGTTTCACTACTTAAATAGTAACACTAAATTGGAATCAGGGAATAAATTCATTATGGTAAGACAAACATATTAGTACTAATTATGTGACTTTGTAAAATACAAGATAGCTTTTAGGTTGAATTTAAGGTAAAGCAAACCAGGTTTTCGATGATTTGAACTTTACTTCTTAAAGACATTTACATTAAGTTCTTGTGCCATGCAGTTGTTTTAAATGGCTTAACTTCAATATATTATAGAATTTTGAGTCACCGATTAGCTTCAGTGACATAGTCTTGAGAGAAGACTTGCTTTAGGCTAAGACAGGGGCTCTCAAATTGTAGAGTACATCAGAATCACCTGGAGGGCTTGTTAAAAGGGAGTGCTGGGCCCCACCCCCAAGAGTGTCTGATTCAGCTGGTGTGGGTAGGGCCCGAGAATTTGCATTTCTAGTAAATTCCCTGCTGCTGCTGCTGATGTTGATGCTTTTAGAACCAAGATTAAGAAAATTCCTAGATTTCCAGAAAAATTAAAATAGTATAGAATCCTTATGACTTACACTAAATGAAAGCAGTAGTACATATTAATTAGTAATTTAATTAATGATAATTTTATTTGCCTTCCTATAATTTACAAGGGCTTTTTTGTTTTTCATTGAAGTAAAATTTATGTATAACTGTATAAGTTTCAGGTATACAACATTATGATTTGGCATACAAGAGTTTTTAAAGGTAGTTTGCACCTTTGAAGTCTTAAAGGGGTGAGTCAAGGATGTCTAATGTTTTCTCTGTCCATGATCTCACTCCTCTGTAGCAAGTACAGGCATTCAGAAACTTTCCATTCAGCTCTACTTCAAAACACCACTTGATAATTTGATGACAGCTTCATACTTCATTAGAAAGGCATACAGATAACTATCAATTCATTGGTATGACTTTTAAATTAGAGTTTCCAGTTATTATACAGAATTGGTAATATTTGGATAAACAATGTCCTATGAAGGACTTGTTTATACCTAAGTACTGTATTGTGTATTATAATTAAGATCTACTATAGGAGTTCTGGGAATGAGAGACCTGGAACTTGACCAGAGTCTTGAAGAATAACTAGGATTTGAAGTGGCTGTTGGGAGTGGGGACAAGATAATGTAAGAAATTGTTCTGGAAACGTACAGAGTTTTTTAGATGAAGAGAAAATAGTTGACACTTGTTGTTATAAGCAACAGAAGGTAGGTGTGACTAGTGAAGGGGATCAGAACGTACCACCCCAGATTATGCCACTTTGGCATAGTGATTATTTTAAGCTAAAGACAACTGAGAAATAGCAGATGCAGGAAGGGCTGTCTGCCTCCTCCTTTCTACCTAAAAGCAGGGCATAGATTTCTTGTACCAGGAAGAGGAGAACATTCTTATTGCCAGAGACAGGGAGTTGACACTGAGGTGAGTCTGTACAAACAAACCTTTTTAAAACAACCCTTATATCCATTAATTTTCCCCATATATTTCCTAGTCGCTTTCCCACAGTTTACTTCCCCTGGCCCAAACCCCTTTTTCTTTTGTTTTATCATGTCTTCATAATTTATTGCTCTTTGTTAAAATGGTATATAAGTCCCTGGGTCTAACCGCTCTGGGGATTTTTACTTCTTTCTGTGAAGCCCTTCACCTCCACTGCAGGCCATGTAAAAATATTAACATTAAATAAAATTTAATACTTTTTCTCCATTAATCTGTCTTCTGTCAGTTCAATTCACAGGCCCCAGACATGGAACCTAAGTGGGTAGAAGAAAAAATCTTTCCTCCCCTACACTGGAATGGAGTGAGCTATGGCTTTCTTACTGTTCTTCAAACATAGCATTCTTGTGTCTGCCTCAGAGCCTTTAAACCTACTGGCTCCTCTTGCAGTGCTCTTCCCCAGTGCTTTAGTTATCTTGCTCCTGAACGCCGAGGTTTCTGCTCAAAGATCTCCTCAGAAAAGCTCCTGAGCTTCCTGTCTAAAATAGAGCCTTCCTGCATGCCAGTCCCATCATCCTTTGTCCCTTTATCCAGCTCTACTTTTCTTTATAGCACTTATCACAATCTGAAATTATATTTTATTTCATGTAGTTAATTTCCCCCACAATAATATAAACTCTGTGAAGGCAGATATTTTTTCTCTCTTGTTCACCACTGTATCCTCAGGCTAAAGATAGTGTCTGGTATAAAGTAGGTGCTCAATAAATATTTCTTGACTGAATCATTGAATAGATCGTCAGGTGGAGACATCAGCCCTCTGAGAATGCAACTGTAGTGTGGTGAAAGGGTGATCTTGCACAGTGAGAAGAATGCCTACTCGTAATCCAGGCCGACGGGCTGTCAGTCTTTGAGCTGTGTGGATTTGGGCAGTGAAAATGATACCACTCACGGGATTACTGTGAGGAATACCTGCGATAATGCTCATAAAGCACTTAGCACACTACCTGACTGAGCATAATAATATAATAATAACTTCTATTTAATCCTTAATCTCTTTGGATTTATTTAACTTTCACGTTGTGACCAGCAGGGGTCACTCAAATTGTGCTTTATGGATGCTAGTTTTGTCTTTGGAATAAATATTTTGCTCATGTGTACAGTGAATTCATTAGGGAAAAGTTCAGTTTGAGTAATCACAAATTATTAAAATTTAAGAGTAAGTTTCCTTGGCATTTCTTTGGCATTGTCTCCCTTGTAAGGTCCGATTAAATTATGGTTTACATTTTTAATAGAAGCCAACATTAATGTTAATTATCTCTCTTAGTGGTTTTCCTTCTTGCCTTAAAATACTAAAGTATGGTGTTTTCCTTTCAGAGAAAATTGTTCTTCCTTGTGTTAACATACCCATCCCCTTATGTATTTTATCTCTACACAGCATTGATCACCTGCTCATGTTCTGTACCGTTTATTTTTTGTTTATTTGTCTGTCACCTCCTCACAAACACCAGAATGTGAGCCCCATAAGGACAGGGTATTTTGTTTTGTTAACCACTCTATCCCTAGCACCTAGAAAAGTGCCTGACACATAACAGGAGCTCAATTAATATAGTATATATAGAACTTATATGTATTATATATAAGAACTCAACTAATGCTGAAAGAATAGAGGAATACACAGAAAATATTTTTTTAACAATATCGTCCCACATTGTGTAAATACAAATATTTTTAAATTTTGGCATTCAGTGGAACCTAATACAAATCATTAAAGTATTTGTATTTTTGATCCAGGATTGCCCAAAAAGAAATTAAAAATTTTTTTAAAAACATTTATTTTTGAGTCCCTGACATCTAGTCAAATGCTGAGAATGAATAGATAAAAGAATTGGACTGGAACTCAAATATATATAAAGTAAAGAAGTATTCCAAAACAATATACTGGTATGTTATAACGTTGTGTACATAATCTAGTAAAGACATTTAAGTGCTTCAGGGAAGATTAAGATATTTGAGATTTATGTCGTCAGGGGGCACGACCCATGTTCTGTACAAAGAGCGTCAAGAAATAGAAATGAGAGTGGAAAAGTCAATTTATTTATTCAAGAAATATTTTTAAGCCCTTAAAATAATCTGGACACTAAAGTAAATGCTATACAAGGATAGACAGATTAATTTATTTAACTGTGTACTGTCAGGAATAGACAGTCTAGAGAAGAAGCTTAAGCAGATGACTGTCCTGTAAATTAGCCTGTGCTAGAACCATCCTTGGTACTCTAAGCTGTTAAAACAACCTGGATAGCTGAGCAACCAATTTCCTGCTGGAGAGATTTGCAAGTCTTCATGGATGAGGTGGTATTTGAACTAGGCCTTCAAGGATGGGTAGGATTTTGATGACCACAGTTAAGAGGGTGGGAGGAGTCTAAAGTAAATGAAATTAATTTTTCTCAGTTATCTTTTATTTTTCCCCCCAACAGGAGCTGTATTTGATGAAAATACTAGAAAAATATTGGTTGTACAAGATCGAAATAAAGTAAGTTGCTTCTGCTTTATAAATTGTTTTCTAAATGTTCAGTTTTCGCTAGAGAAAAATAAAATGTAGGAATTTTGATATGCTCAAGGAATTACAGAAAGATATCTTAAAAGTCATTTCTAAGCAGTTATGGGTCATTTAGGTATTTATTTAATCCCAAAAATATTTATGCAGGCCTTGGAATGTCAGGGTAAATGCAATGTTACTATCTATTATTTTTATGGCTTCTGGAAAATTGTAAATGGCTCTATTTAATTGGGAAGACAACTCTGTTTCTAACAGACTATCAAGATAGTCTTCTATTCATTCAACATTCGTTAAGCTCCTAATCTGAGCCAGGTGCTGGGAATACAAAGATTAAAAAGACAATATCCCTGATGTCCTTATGGTTAACAATTAACTTCGCCTTTAAAAAGCCCCTAAAGACTTCTCAGAGGAGGTGACATTTAAAGTGGGTCTTGAAAAATGAGTAGACACTTACTAGGCAAAAAAAAAAAAAAGTGTAGAAAAACAGACTGAGAACATTAGAATTGCATATATAAAGGCACAGAGTTCGGAAAGAGGCTAACATGGTGTCTTGGTCTGTTCAGGCTGCTGTAACAAAAATGCCATAGACTGAGTGGCTTACACAACAAACATTTATTTATCACATTCTGGAGGCTGGGAAGGTCAAGATCCAGGCGCCAGCAGATTCAGCGTCTGGTGAGGACCTACTCCTGGCTCATAGATAGTTGTCTTCTCCCTGTGTCCTCACATGGCAGAAGACACAAGTGAACTCTCTGGGATCTCTTTTATAAGAGCACTACTCCCATTCATGAGGGCTCCACCGTCATGGCATGATCACCTCCCAGAACCCCACCTCATAATACCATCATGTTGGGGATTAGGATGTCAACATCTGGATTAGTGGGGTCAGGTGGGGGGGCATAAATATTCAGTCCATTGCACACAGTGTGGAAATAATGTGAAAAAGTTCACTGTGGCCAGGAGTGCGGGGAGTGGTAAAATATTTGACCAAAAGTCAAATAAAATAAAATATAAGGCATATAGGCAGCTAGAAGCAGCAAAGGTTTTTAAGAGAAGTATCATGATTAGAGATCAAATGTGTTTATGCTCAGGAGTATAAGTAAAAGTGAAAGAGAATAATTATTTTGATACTTTATGAGACTTTAATAAATACTCATGGACAGAGTCAAACATTTTTTTCCCTATTGTATATGTTTTTAAAATTTTAAACTAATATTTGTAATGATAGCTGAAAGCAGCATCACACATTTCTCAGAAATGTTACCTAAAATTATTTTCATAGTTATCTCATAAATAACTTTTGAAGTTTGGGTAAGGCAGGATCTCTGACTCAAACTAAGCTTTATCATCAACGGAAATTTATTGAATGCCTAAGGTAGTATTGTGCCTAGCCCTCAATAAGTTTTATATTTGAATTGGAACATATAAATATAAATATATATATATACACACACCCATATATATATATATTTGATGAGAATGACTGGCGAGTGGGAAGCATGATTGAGTAGTGGAAGTAGATCCTAGTTAGGAGGGGTCCTGGGAGCCAGGCAGAGGAGTTTAGATTTGATGTGGAAACAGTAGCTTTTGAACAATTTTGATTGAGATGACAAAGTGATGAAGATGATGTATGGAAAAGATTAAACTAATACCAATATGCAAATTAACCTGACAACAATATCCTGAATGAAGGAGAGTCAGTATAAACACAGTGGACTTGGGAGTCAGGCTGATCTGAGTTCCAGTCTCTATGCCACTTCTACCTTGGCCACATCTCTGAGCCTCAGTTTCCTCATCTTTAAAATCTAGATAATAATATCTTCCTCATAGAAATTATGCATTCGCTGTCCTTTTTTCCAACTGGATTTATACCTAGTACTATGTGACTAGAGTTTGTAATATTTCTTTTGTATTAAATAAGGGAAAAATATGTTAATAAAATAAAGATTATTAATGCTTATAAGCAAAGGGGGGGAGGAGCAGGGAGGATGCAAACAAAGATATAGCCAGAGAGGCCCACCAGGTGATTGCTGTAGTAATTAAGAGGGGAGGTAAGGAAGCCTTGCACTAGGATGATGGTGTGAAAAGGAAGAGATAGATGCCTCTATGAATTGGTGACAGTAAATTTGTCAGTTAAGAAAAAGAATGAGTTTTAAATCATTTGTGATTTTGAGTTGAGGGTGGGAGCTGAAATAATGGTATCGCTAGGGATGTTGGTAGAGGGGAAATGAATTCATTACAGAAAATTTGAGGTTGAGTTAAAAGAGATATTGAAGTGGGAATATCCAGACATTTCTTCTCATTCCTCCTAATGAATTATTGAGTACCAGACAAGTTGTTATTGGTCAATTAATTCCTCAGTTCCCTATGGTACTAAAAAGAGATGTGAGATGAAGCATATTAGTTAATGAATTTCTTTTTACAACTTCGACCATCATGACCCACAGTACTTTAAAACTGTAGGCAGTGGTCTTCATCCACAGGAACAGATACGAGGAAGATATTGATATATCGAGTCTAGGATTGCATGGCCTAGCCTCACTGTGCTAAGAGGCCTGGCGGGGGACTTTCCATGGCTTCCATACAGCTGCAGTTCTAGCTATTGTATTCTATAGAATCATGCTCTGTGGAGTTGTGCAATATAGCACAGTGCCACCCCAAGAAAAACAGGTACATAACAAACATTACATGAAAGAGAGAACTGAGTAGTATGTTCTAAAAGCAGACAAAAAGTACACTGAAGTTAATTTTCGGCATCATCTGTATAAATAGTTGACAATTAGGGATAAAGTAGTTGAAAAATAGGAAGAGTAACACATATCAGTTCTTTCCCATAGGCCAAAGAGGTTAAAGGAGTTGAAACATGAAGATAATAGTTGAATCATACTAATCTATATTCTTCACATGTCTAGATATGAGTTAGTCCGCCATTCTCTAAAATAAACTATTTGGAAGTGAGGACTTCTCTGACATCACATTAGGAATGGAAGATAAACACCCAGAGAGCTTTGTGTCTGGTGCAATTCATGGAGTGTGAATATGTGTGTGTGTGTTTTAATAGGAAAGTTCGAACTTAGTTGTTTTAGAACATGTTAAACTTCAGTTATGCCCCAAGTACTACACTTAGTAACTAAAGTTAACATTTTATAGTGCATTGGGAAAATGGGTTCAATTCTTCCCTGTACCTAGGTTCTCTCTTTGAAGGAAATTAATTAATTCTCCATTTTGGTCCATAAATGTATCATTTTGAGAAGAATATAGTTCTATACATAGAGGAATGTATCTCAGATTCTTCAAATTCCAATTTTTTACGTCTGTTTGTGTGTATGTGTGTGTATATACATATGACATATATATATGAAGTTAAAAGCCAAATTATTATCAGCATCTGCCAACTTGGCCATACAAGGAATATTCAGTTATAGTATAGCTGTTCTGAGCTTAGGTTTCTGAGAAAATTATCCTCCCTTTCCCTCTTCACTAGCTTTTGATCCCTTATTCCTATTTCACTGTGCTCTTATATATATATATATCACAGATGATTTTTTCAAAGACAAGATATAAACAATAATAATATGTATTGTGTATTTATGGCATGTCTTTACTTGAATACATGAGTACTTCACATGAAGTAGCTATTTTAATCCTCGCAACAACCCATGAGGATTTTTATCCCCATTTTAAAGATGAAAAACCTGAGGCACAGAGAAGCTAAGTAATTTACCCACAATTACATAGATGATGTAGTGGAACCAAGATTCTAATCCAACCAGTTTGATTTCAGAGTCTGTAATCTTTAAAAAAAAAAAAAAAAGATTAGCCAAAGCCCAAAATAATTCATTTCATAATAGAGCGATAAGCCTCAGTTTTCTCCACACTCAATTCCAAGCGTCAAGTAAGGACTTCAAAGACATACAACGATTTTCCTCAATGCCAACAAATTGTGAGGGACACCAGATGGTCCCTAGTTTATCCTATTCTACCTACAAAAGAAAAGTTCCTGTAGTCATTATTGTATTATTTTGTCATTCAGGTCTTACTACCCTTAGGGCAAACGGGCTTGCATATAATTAATATTGAGTATCCAAGATCTGAGAAGATTTATTTAGGATTATGTTCAATTAAATTGGCTTACACCAAAAGTAAATATTATAACTAGCAGACAGATGATATGTCCAAACGTTATTGACAAATACTATATATACAAGTAACAAATTCATTCATTTCTTTTACTGTTTGAAAAAAAATCTATACCTTGATATATAAAAATTACTTCTAAAGAGATCTTTTAAAAGGCTTTACTATCTTTTAACTATATCCCTTTAACTATCTTTTCCTTGCATTTAAAGAAGCAGCAGTCTGACCAAAGTTCATTTAATCTTTTCTGGGCTCAAGTGACATAAGAAGTTGTAGAGACAAAACAGGATCAGGACACCTAGGTTCTAGGATTTGGCCCCACCACTAACTAGCTCTAAGACTCTGGGCAAATCTCTGAGCCTCTGGGAAACTAAGTTTCCCCACTTATAAAAATAAGGAGTTAGAGTCAGTGATCTCAAATGAAATACTATAATTATACCTATAGATTTATGGAAGACAAGATACCAGATATAATCTGATGTTAAACAAAAATATCCAACTGAGTAAATTTTAAAGATCTTACTGGCTTTAGTCAACAATTCATGAATCTGGTAGCATTCCGTCTAACAGATAGAAAGGAGCTCTGAAGACTACAAAATGAAAAGACTTTTATAGGCAGAAGGGGGCAGGACAAGGAAAGAGTGAATAGTTTGTGGCAAACTCATCTTCCTTAAGGGGACAGCAGGGGTCTGTCAGGCAGATTACTTCACTAGTGCTGACCAGGTAATTCTAGATTGACTGGTTTAAGATTCCATTCCTGGGAGAGGCTGACACTGCAATTAGGTTAGGCCTTAAGTCTCAGTTTGGTGACGTGGGCTTAGCACAAGTGACTCCAT